TTTCTGGGCTTTCTGGGCCGGAGCCTAGTCTTTTTGGAATGTCGAAATTTGATTTTTGAAATGCTTTTGTGCTTAGTGGCAAATTTCGGCTTTGAGGAGATCGAGATAGTTAATAATAATAGATAATAAGGACTGGACCTAGAATTATGGGCCATTCTGTAGATCAGAGACATCCTGTAGATCGGAGACATCCTGTAGATCAGAGACATCCTGTAGATCAGAGAAATCCCATTCATTTGCCCATTGTCAAAAGCTAGGACAGGTCAATCATTCTAGGCCGAAAAGTGGGTTCAGATTTAGCCAGGTTAGAGTTAGGCAAGTTAGAGTTAGGCAAGTTAGAGCTAAGCAAGTTAGAATAGGTCATGTGCCAGGCCAGTTCAAGTCATGATCATGACCAAGCCATAACCGATCCAGACAAGTTTGTCAATTGGCAAGTTTGGCAATTGGCAATTGGCAATTTTGGCAAGTTTAGCGATGATATGCGATGGATCGCGTGGGCCGATGTGTACCTAATCGTTTACGATGTCACCAGTCAATTGTCGTTACAGTGAGCGCTTAGATATTGCTCTTAAGCATTCAAATTTTAGATTTCAGAGCCAGATTCAGATTTCCGATTCCTTTCAAAGCATTCAAATTCCAGATACGCCGAGGGTTTACTCGAGAAAATCGCTCAACACGAGCATTTGCTTTGCGCAAGAGAACATAAAAGTATTCTCTTGGGGAACAAGAGTGATTTGGAGAGATATCGGTGCGTGAAATTGCTTTGTATTGTTGTCTTTTGGCCAAAAGTTGGCCACAAAAGTTGGCCAGGCCAAGGCCACGCTTTAGAAAACGAAAGTTTCAGACAAGTCAGCGAGGCGGATGCCTCCCGCACGGCCACCAAGTACGGCGCTTCGTTTTTCGAGACGAACGCTGTTGGGGTGAGGATTTTGAGGAGTTATTAATGCTTTTTTGAGTACATTTTTTACTTGTTGCTTATTAATGCAGTGATATTCGGTTGTCAGTTTATCGGGACTTATAAAGAAAAGCAACGACCTAACTCCGCTCGATTAAAAGGGAAAAAATAGGTGAAATCGCCTTATATACGCGTTGCTTGACGGCGGCGGGGGTACGGTAGCTGGGTACGTTATTAAGTGGAGAATAGCCACAGCAAAAGAACGAAAGTTTACATTCACTTGGCAACTTTTCGTCTTTCAACAAGAAACCTTTTGTTTTCGAATCAGTTAAACAGTAAACAGTAACAGTTAAACAGCTTCGAAATCTATTAGTGTCCGTCTGTCTGTCCGTCTGTCTGTCCGTCTGTCTGTCCGTCTGTCTGTCCGTCTGTCTGTCCGTCTGTCTGTCCGTCTGTCTGTCCGTCTGTCTGTCCGTCGGTCTGTCCGTCGGTCTGTCCGTATGTCTGTCCGTATGTCGGTCTGTCCGTATGTCGGTCCGTCGGTATGTCCGTCTGTCTGTCCGTCTGTCCGTCTGTCCGTCTGTATGTCCGTCAGTTTGTCTGTCCATCTGTCCGTCCGTCTGTCTGTCCGTTTGTCTGTCCGTCTGTCTGTTTGTTTGTCTGTCTGTCTGCCTGTCTGTCTGTCCGTCCGTAAGTCCGTCTGTCCGTCAGTTTGTCTGCCCATCTGTGCGTCCGTCTGTCTGTTTGTTTGTCTGTCTGCCCGTCCGTCAGTCCGTCTGTCCGTCAGTTTGTCTGCCCATCTGTGCGTCCGTTTGTCTGTCCGTCTGTCTGTTTGTTTGTCTGTCTGCCCGTCCTTAAGTCCGTCTGTCCGTCCGTCTGTCTGTCCATCTGTCCGTCCGTCTGTCTGTCCATCTGTCCGTCCGTCTGTCTGTCCATCTGTCCGTCCGTCTGTCTGTCCGTTTGTCTGTCCGTCTGTCTGTTTGTTTGTCTGTCCATCTGTCTGTCCGTATGTCTGTCCGTTTGTCGGTCCGTATGTCTGTCCGTCTGTCTGTCCGTAAGTCTGTCTGTATTTCTGTTCGTCAGTTTGTCTGTCTGTCCGTTTGTCTGAAACAAGAATGAATAGTTTAGTTGAACATGCTTTAGAAGTAATCATAGCCTCACATTGGCTTCGCATTGAAGCAATGAGTGCATCAATAGTTGCTTGTTCGATCTCCGAACCCAACTATAGATATAAAGTCACTTTTCAGGACGCCCGTCCTTTAGCCCAACTCTTGCACGAGACCTTCGCATCGATTTTGACCGGCACTCGCTCACCGTCACCGCGAATGTGCAGTTCGGACTCGGAAATAACGAATAGCACAAGTGAGAGTTCAAAGGCTGGTTTCTATAGCTGTAGCTCTATAGCTGGTTTGTATAGTCTAGAAAGCTATCGTTGTGTTCTACGAAAGCCTAGAAAGCCAGAATTTGGGTAACTTTGCCTGGCTTTCTCTCTATAGTCTATTGTCTAATAAAAGCTGCCGTAACCCAAAAATATCCCTAATTTCTAGACTTTATTAAAAAACTGACTTTTTTGATTGGCTTTTTGTTTTTTCTATTGAAAAAATGACTCTTTAGCCTTTTTTTCATTGATTTTTCTTGATTTTCATTGATTTAAGCTGTTTTTCGCTTAAAATCTCAACCAGTACTTTTCTGAATACTTTAAAAACTATCTAAATGTGAAAAATGTTTTAAAAACTTAATCCTAAGCTTTACCAAAGTTAGATGAAAAAAGAAAACGCAAATGATCTCGGGCGGGATCGCTCATTTTTCCCGTTTTCATCGTTTATTTCGTCCGTTTTAGCTCTTTTTGAGTCAAAAATTCACCCAGAACCTTCCAGAATTCTTAAAAACAAGATCTTAATCTTAAAAATCTCAAAACGAAACAAATCCTTGATCCAAAATCAAAAAAGAAATCAAAAATGATCTCGGGCGGGATCGAACCGGCGACCTTCTGTGTGTTAGACAGATGTGATAACCACTACACCACGAGACCCGCTGGCGGGGAAGGAAAAAAAGGGTCTTATGAATTTTCTGTGGCTAAAGCTTCGTTGGTCGCTGGTGGCTTTCTCGAGCATGAATAGTCAAATCATAAATCAAGCAGCTGGAACAAAGTGACCGCGTGGCCTAGCGGTTAGTGTGCTTGGCTTCAGTTCTACACCTCGCGGGTTCGAACCCGGTTGCAGGCTTTTCTTTCCTTTTTGTGTTTAGTGATGTAGAAACTTAAACTAAACAATTTTAGGGGACTTTTTGGAAAATATATAATGCAAAATGATTAACCACTACACCACGAGACCAGCTGACCAACGAAGAAATGAAGAGCTCTTATCAATGATCTGTGGCTAAACTGCGCTGAAATCTGGCATCTGGCTAGACTAAAAAGCTTCGTTGGTCGGTTAAGAGCGGGTTTTTCCGGCAGATCTCAACTAGTCGGCAGGGCAGTCGGACCATGGAGCAGTCGGCAGGGCCCTGGTATACAAGCCACACGATCCGGGTTCGACTCCCCGCAGTGCCGCGAAAGTTTGATTTTTGAATTTTTCTTTTAAATAACAGAACTATATTATAATCTAAGGTTTTCTAAAGAAATTTTAGCTTTATTGGTCTCTGTTCTGTTGCTAAACTTGGCTAAAATCTGGGACACAATCATAAAATCAGCAGCGCTTCCTGGACTTTCAATCTCTCCATGCCAAATCCCACAGATTTACATTCGCCCCAAATCCCACCAATTTTCCCAAAGATCTTTCAGCTTTTCGAGGTTTAACTGGAAATTGTCTGAAAAATGTCTGAAAATCGTCTGAAATGTCTGAAAAATGTCTGAAATTTCTAAAAATCGTCTGAAATGTCTAAAAATGTCTGAAAATTGTCTGAAAACTGAAAAAACTGAAGCTTATCACTTCGAAAAGCCATAGCCATGCTTAAAAATACCCATCTTAAGCTTTCCCCATCTTAAATCAGAAAAAGAAATCAAAAATGATCTCGGGCGGGATCGAACCGCCGACCTTCTGTGTGTTAGACAGATGTGATAACCACTACACCACGAGACCGCTGTGCCGCCGTGAGAAAAAAGGGCTTTTGACTAGCGACTAAGATGAGCCTCATTTGCAGTACTTTTGCTCAAAACAAGACAAAAGTTAAGCTTTTAGACTTTTCTGGCTTTTCTGAGCTTTCAAGATTCAAGGCTAAGGCTTGTCGTGATTAACTTGGCTCTTGTTCGACCTTAGATTGATCCTCATTTGATCTTAAGCCAATTTTGGCCGATTGGCGATTCTAACATTTCATCCTAACCTAATTTTGGCCGATTTCAAAGCAGTTTTAGTCAAAGTTCAAAGCAGTTCAAACCTGGCTAAGCTTAGGTTTGTAAACAGGTTTCTTGGTCTGGCAGAGCTTCTAAATCGGCTAGATCTAGCTCTGAGCCAGAACTAGACTGGTCTAAAGTAAAGTCTGAGTTGAATGGTCATCAGCTAATAACTGGATAGGTAAAACAGAGCCTGAACAGAGCTACAGAGCCTGAACGGATCTACAGAGCCTGAACAGATCTACAAAAGTTTTCCCACTTCCGTTTCTGATCTGTTTTGAACCTAATCTAGTTCTAAACCTAGTCTTATTCCGTTACTAACTTAACCTTCCGTCTAGCTAGCTTCTGAGCAGATCCTACAGATCCTACAGATCCTACAGATCCTGCAGATCGTACCGATCCTATAGATCCTACAGATCCTACATATCGTGCCGATCCTATAGATCCTATAGATCCTACAGATCCTGCAGATCCTGGCCGATCCTGGCCGATCCTGGCCGATCATAGCTTGGCTCAGAAACAGTAAGTAAATCCTAGTCCTAAATGCCTTTGTCTTGTCCTAAATGCCTTTGCCATAGTCTAAAACGAAATCTGGCTTAGGCCTGAGCTTTGGTCAAAAGCCAGACGTTTTCCAGGAACTACCTCATCTGGAGGATAAAGTTTGACCTTAGCTTGACCCGGAAATCACATCCTAAGCCGGTTAACCTTATCCTGATCCTAAACTCATCCGATTATCCAGTTTTAAATCCCGTAAACAAAATTGAGTCTTGTTTTCAAAGTACAGACTGATCGCGACTAAAGGCTGACATTTACGACACGGAAAAGTCGCTCACAAACGACTGCCTTATTATGAAAGTGTTAAGTGTTATCTAGAGAATTGTAGCCCTGGATCTTGGCTTTATTTATCTACCAAAAACTTCTCGATTGGACTTATACAACTCATTTTACAAGCTCTTGAATGAGCTTAGCCTCTTTCCAGTAATCCACTCATTCAAGAGCTTGTAAAATGAGTTGTATGAGTCCAATCGGGAAACTTTTATAACATAAATGTAGCCAAGATCCAGGGCTACAATTCTCTATATAACACTTGACACTTTGATAATAAGGCAGTCGTTTGTCAGCGACTTTTCGAATGCGGATGCTATCTGGAAAAAGCTACGAAAAAATTTCGTCGCTATAAGTCGCAGTTCTCGTATTTTAATGAAATTTTCAGGAAAATCGGGTTTCTCGTTTCGTTCCTCGTCTCGTTCCTCACACATTACTCGAAAAGGATCAACGACAAAAGCCCCCACAACTCCGCCTACTCCTCTCCACAAAAGTCCATCTATTAGTAAATTGAAAACTGGCAGCAAGCTGTTGAAATTGTTTCACAATTCGAATTCTTGATTTATTAGAATCAAATAAATGCTTATCTTTCTTTTATGAAGACAATTTAAAGAATTAAAATTAAAAATTAAAAGAAAAATCTGTTTTCGAACTTTTCCGAGTTCACTAACCACTGCGATAGTTTAGACAATAAAGCTTAGATAATAAAGCTTTCAATATCTAGAACTAAAGCATGACATCCATATCAACTGAATTCGAAATTAGATTTCGATTTTGCTTAATCAATGAGTCAGAATTGCTATGAACAGGAAAAAAGAGGTAGGTTTGACTTAAATTTAAATCTAAATATCTAGAACTAAAGCATGACATCCAGATCAACTGTATTCAGAATCAGATTTCGATTTTGATTAATCAATGAGTCAGAATTGCTGTGAACAGGAAAAATGGTAGATTTTGACTTGAAAAAGACGAAATGGAGGAGAAATCGTTAGATAAGGTCTACAGAATAGTTTCAAAATAGTACTTTTAAGTAAAAACGAGTGGCTATTACGAAAAAAGGAAAGAATTCTTGTTCGAATGGTTCGAGCAGGGTTCGAACCCGAGGGGTGACCGGCACCGCTCAGCTCGCAGACAAGCACACTATCCACTGCGCCATGAGAAAAAGTTTAGATAATGAAGCTTTCAATATCTAGAACTAAAGCATGACATCCAGATCAACTGTATTCGAGATTAGATTTCGACTTTGCTTAATCAATGAGTCAGAATTGCCATGAACAAGGAAAAAAGGTGGATTTGGCTTAAATCTAAATCTAAATATCTAGAACTAAAGCATGACATCCAGGACTACTGTATTCGAGATTAGATTTCGATTTTGCTTAATCAATCGGTCAGAATTGCTGTGAACAGAGATAGATTTGACTTGAAACCACCTAAAGTATGCCCCAGTTACCGTAAACCGATCTGATTCTTAATAATATGTTTTGTGTTTAGAATCGCTCTATTATGTTGGTTGGCTATAGTACAAGGCTTACTGTAAAAGGCTTAAGGCTTACTGTAAAATCAACCAGCCAAATCGTACTTTAATTTTCAACAGAAAAGTCAATTGAATTCTGAAAGTTTATGCAATTTTTTCGTAAAAAACAAAGAAACTATATACACGAAATTCGAAAATGAATTAGAATTAGAATGAATTAGAATGAATTAGAATGAATTAGAATGAATTAGAATGAATTAGAATGAATTAGAATTAGAAATGAATTATATTTGAGCGTGCCGATAAGAAACGGATAAGAAACTTTCGCTACGTGACATTTGTTGATTGATGGTTGAGCTAAAAATCGTGTTCTGAGTCAATACTTTGATTAAAATCCCACTCTTAATCGTAGACATCAGCCCAAACATATTCCTGTCCATCGTCAGTAATCAAAATCGTCTTTTTTCGCGTTTCCTCGATCGACTCTGGCATTGTTTTGACAGCTAAATCGTGTTGATATTTTAGATAGCTCAAAGCATATGCATACAAAAGTTTCTGATGAGATTTTTGATGAAAAAAACGTACCGTAAATACTGTAATAGTACCCCACCCCCATAATGACGGTGCGGAGCGTTGCGTAGTCTAGCTTTGAACGAGTTTTTCTCGACACTGGTTTATGCTACAATGCTCGTTTAAATATCAAAAAATAGCTGAAATTCAGGGCTATTTTTTGATACCAAAGACGCATTTTTTGAAAGTACGGGTGCTTTGAAAAAAATTAAATACTAAAAAACGACTACGCGACTGTACGAGGGGGGTGGGGTACTATTACAGTATTTACGGTATCAGATGCACCAATCCCTTTCCTAAAACATGCCCTTTTTTCCCAGAAACTACCCTAATCTCTATTTTCATCGGTTGTCTCTATTTTCATCGATTATCGGACATTTGATATGCGCCCCACGCCTATTGCCATTGGCAATCCAACCCTGAGCAACCCAACTTTGTGCAATCCAACTTCGAGCGTCGGGCTGTTTAATTTAAATCTTCTTGATATCATTGGATGCACCAAGTCTTTCTCTATCGATTGGCACAAAAACTATTCAAATTGGACAGTCCAATTCCAAGATATTTAAGCTCAAAGTTGGATGGCAAAGTTGGATGGCAAAGTTGAATTAGGTTCCGATTGGGTTCCGATTAGGTTCCGGTTAGGTTCCGAATAGACTCATTTAAAGTTTCAATTAGGTCCCAATTAGGTTCTATATGGTTGATGGATGGGACATTCTATGCTATGGTCGATGGATGGGACATTCTAGATGGTCGATGGATGGGACATTCTATGCTATGGTCGATGGATGGGACATTCTAGATGGTCGATGGATGGGACATTCTAGATGGTCGATGGATGGGACATTCTATGCTATGGTCGATGGATGGGACATTCTAGATGGTCGATGGATGGGACATTCTATGCTATGGTCGATGGATGGGACATTCTAGATGGTCGATTGATGGGACATTCTAGATGGTCGATGGATGGGACATTCTATGCTATGGTCGATGGATGGGACATTCTAGATGGTCGATGGATGGGACATTCTATGCTATGGTCGATGGATGGGACATTCTAGATGGTCGATGGATGGGACATTCTATGCTATGGTCGATGGATGGGACATTCTAGATGGTCGATGGATGGGACATTCTAGATGGTCGATGGATGGGACATTCTATGCTATGGTCGATGGATGGGACATTCTAGATGGTCGATTGATGGGACATTCTAGATGGTCGATGGATGGGACATTCTAGATGGTCGATGGATGGGACATTCTATGCTATGGTCGATGGATGAGACATTCTATATGGTTGATGGATGGGACATTCTATGCTATGGTCGATGGATGGGACATTCTAGATGGTCGATTGATGGGACATTCTAGATGGTCGATGGATGGGACATTCTAGATGGTCGATTGATGGGACATTCTAGATGGTCGATGGATGGGACATTCTATGCTATGGTCGATGGATGGGACATTCTAGATGGTCGATGGATGGGACATTCTATGCTATGGTCGATGGATGGGACATTCTAGATGGTCGATGGATGGGACATTCTAGATGGTCGATGGATGGGACATTCTATGCTATGGTCGATGGATGGGACATTCTAGATGGTCGATGGATGGGACATTCTATGCTATGGTCGATGGATGGGACATTCTAGATGGTCGATTGATGGGACATTCTAGATGGTCGATGGATGGGACATTCTATGCTATGGTCGATGGATGGGACATTCTAGATGGTCGATGGATGGGACATTCTATGCTATGGTCGATGGATGGGACATTCTAGATGGTCGATGGATGGGACATTCTATGCTATGGTCGATGGATGGGACATTCTAGATGGTCGATGGATGGGACATTCTAGATGGTCGATGGATGGGACATTCTATGCTATGGTCGATGGATGGGACATTCTAGATGGTCGATTGATGGGACATTCTAGATGGTCGATGGATGGGACATTCTAGATGGTCGATGGATGGGACATTCTATGCTATGGTCGATGGATGAGACATTCTATATGGTTGATGGATGGGACATTCTATGCTATGGTCGATGGATGGGACATTCTAGATGGTCGATTGATGGGACATTCTAGATGGTCGATGGATGGGACATTCTAGATGGTCGATTGATGGGACATTCTAGATGGTCGATGGATGGGACATTCTATGCTATGGTCGATGGATGGGACATTCTAGATGGTCGATGGATGGGACATTCTATGCTATGGTCGATGGATGGGACATTCTATGCTATGGTCGATGGATGGGACATTCTAGATGGTCGATGGATGGGACATTCTATGCTATGGTCGATGGATGGGACATTCTAGATGGTCGATGGATGGGACATTCTAGATGGTCGATGGATGGGACATTCTAGATGGTCGATGGGAACATTCTATGCAAACCCTTTCGGCTTCAAACAACATCTTTTATCATATTCAGCTCGCACACTCGTTTGTTCCATGTGCATTCCTTGTAAGCAAAGAGGCGCATCGATATGCCGATGTTTTTAAAGTACTACAGCAAGAAGGTGTCCCAGCACCAATAAAAGATAAAACGGGTATGGCTTTTATTTTATAATAAAAGCCATACCCGTTTTATCTTTTATCTTATAATTTAGCAATACTAATTTAGACATGGAGATTGCAATTGCTAATGGCTTCTATAGTGTTTTCGACATACAAATCTGCCTGGCAAAGTTAGATTGTCAATGACAAAGGGGCAATCAAATGGCAATCAAATGGCAATCAAATGTCCGACAATCACTTTTATCGAATCTATCGACTTTTTTTTGATTCTGTGAGGATTCACAAAGGATTTTGAAACGAAACAAAAAGTGGGTGATTCGATAAAAATATATGTCGTAGCCGTTTACGAAATTCAGCCGCTAACGAATAAGGGTATTTCCGGGCATCCAATCAAAAAGTCACCCAAATAAAAAATGTTCATAATACATATATTTTATAATAAATTTTTCAAATTAACTCATTTGGTTCAGGAGAAAATTTTTTTTGAGCCCCCAAAGTTTAGGTTCAAAAATGGCTATAAAAAATTTTCTACTTAGCCAAAAAACTTGCCTAATAGCTCATTTTGTAGCCAAATTTATGTAGATTCTTAAAGTAAAGCAACATTGAACATTTGTTTTTCAAAGCTAGGAGAACGAGGGCGAGGAACGACTTCAGTTCAACTCGGTCGCTGTTTTCACATTTGAGAATTGCCCTGAATTTGTTCCTCGCCCTCTTTCTCCTACTTTCAACAAAAAAATCGTTTTAGATGGCTTTCCTTTAAGAAACTACATCAAATTGGCTACAAAATGAGCTATTAGGCAAGTTTTTTGGTTGAGTAGAAAATTTTTTATAGCCATTTTAGGGCATTTTTGAACCTAAACTTTGGGGGCTCAAAAAAAATTTTCTCCTGAACCAAATGAGCTAATTTCAAAAATTTATTATAAAATATATGTATTATGAACATTTTTTATGTGGGTGACTTTTTGATTGGATGCCCGGAAATACCCTCATTCGTTAGCGGCTAGTCTTAGTCGGCTGAATTTCGTAAATGGCTACGACATATAGATATTAGTTTTGGGGAAAATGGAGAGGTTTAGAAAACGGATTAGAGACCAACTTCGGACTTCCATCAGCAAAAAAAGAAACTTTGCAAAACTATACGAATCAAATGTCTTTTTGGCGACATAGCAATTGAAAGTCCGCTTGAAATCTTGACACAACAAAATTTTACGATCACCGAATGCAACGAATGAGTGACCAGGTGACCGAGTGACCGATCGGAGAGGGGAAATTGTTAGATAAGGTCTAGAAAATAGTTTCAAAATAGTACTTTCGAGTAAAAACGAGGCTGTAGAGAAGTAGTAGTAACGTAGAGAATTCAGTGCACTAGAAGGGGTTCCTGGATGTCACTGTAGATGAAATTTGGCTTTTCGAGCTTTTTCTGCAAAACCAAACTTTGAGCGGTTTCGAACCCGTGGGCCGGCACCGCTCACCTCGTAGCCAAGCACACTATCCACTGCGCCATGAAAAAAAGTCTAGATCGTGAAGTTTTAAATATCTAGAACTAAAGCATGACATCCAGGATTACTGTATTCAAGGTCAGATTTCGATTTTGCTTAATCAATGAGTCAGAATTGCTATGAACAGGAAAAAAGAGGTAGATTTGACTTAAATCTAAATCTAAATATCTAGATCTAAAGCATGACATCCAGGATTACTGTATTCAAGGTCAGATTTCGATTTTGCTTAATCAATGAGTCAGAATTGCTATGAACAGGAAAAAGGGGTAGATTTGACTTAAATCTAAATCTAAATATCTAGATCTAAAGCATGACATCCAGGATTACTGTATTCAAGGTCAGATTTCGATTTTGCTTAATCAATGAGTCAGAATTGCTATGAACAGGAAAAAAGAGGTAGATTTGACTTAAATCTAAATCTAAATATCTAGATCTAAAGCATGACATCCAGGTCAACTGTATTCGAGATCAGAATTCTATTTTGCTTAATCAATGAGTCAGAATTGCTGTGAACAGGAAAAATGGTAGATTTGACTGGAAAAAGAGGAATCGGAGGGGAAATTTTTAGATACAATCTATAGAATAGTTTCAAAATAGTACTTTTAAGTAAAAACGAGTGGCCATTACGAAAAAAGCAAAGAATTGTTGTTCGAATGGTTCGAGCAGGGTTCGAACCCGCGGGGTGACGGGCACCGCTCGCCTTGTAGCCAAGCACACTAACCACTGCGCCATGAGAAAAGTTGAGATAATGAAGCTTTCAATATCTAGATCTAAAGCATGACATCCAGATCAACTGTATTCAAAATCAGATTTTGATTTTGTTTAATCAATAAGACAGAATTGCTGTGAACAGGAAAAATGGTAGATTTTGACTTAAATCTAAATCTAAATATCTAGAACCAAAGCATGACATCCAGATCAACTGTATTCAAGGTCAGATTTTGATTTTGTTTAATCAATAAGACAGAATTGCCGTGAACAGGAAAAAAAGGTAGATTTGACTTAAATCTAGATCTAAATATCTAGAGCTAAAGCATGACATCCAGATCAACTGTATTCAAAATCAGAATTCAATTTTGCTTAATCAATGAGTCAGAATGGCTGTGAACAGGACAAAAAGATAGATTTCACTTGAAAAAGAGGAATCTTGTGCACCGGAAAGTGTGTGTTTACAAGATTTTCGCACAAAATTCACGAAAAAGACCATAGAAATCGAGTCTACTGCGAGATTTTCGAAAAAAGTGACCGATTTGGGGAGCTAAAGTACTCAAAACTGTCATGAAAATCGCGAAAAAAAAACGCCTTTGACGACAGATTCTTATCTTTTTTGGGAAAAAGAATTTCCCTACTGACACATTTTTTTTTGTGGATTTGAGACTGAAAGAACTTTTCTGAGACGATCCATTTTCAATTTTCTTACCAAAAAATGCAACTTTCGCTGAAAAATGCTGAAAAATCGGGTAAAATCGAAAAATCGACGAAACGGAAGCTTTTTTGCGCGAATAAATTTGGTAAAATGTTGAAATTTTAAATTTTTTTGAGGAAAATAAGTGTCATTCAAAATTTTATGGCCAATTTTATGAGAATTTTGTGATAAAGACACAAAAAATGAACTTTTCATTGTTTTGAGTGGCGAAAACTGACTTCAAACTGCTTCCATTCGAAAATTTCTGCTTTCTGGATGTCACTGTAGATGAAATTTAGATTTTTGAGCCTTTTCTGAACAAAATTTTGACATAGGGTTCGAACCCGCGGGTGGCCGGCGTCGCTCGCCTCGTAGCCAAGCGCACTATCCACTGAGCCATGAGAAAAAGTTGAGATAGTAAAGCTTTAAATATATAGAATTCAAGCATGACATCCAGGATTACTGTATTTGAGGTCAGGTTTCGACTTTGCTTAATCAATGAGACAGAATTGCCGTGAACAGGAAAAAAAGGTAGATTTGACTTAAATCTAGATTTAAATATCTAGAACTAAAGCATGACATCCAGATCAACTGTATTCGAGATCAGATCTCGATTTTGCTCAATCAGTGAGTCGGAATTGCTGTGAAACAGGAAAATGGATGGATTTCACTTGGAAAGGCGCCATTGGAAAGACGATCAGATGCGGGAAACTTCCTTACGAGTTAAGCAGTGCAAACGCTCGTTTATATCCGAACAACCTAATAGTTCTCAATATTTGTTCATATCTATTTTATTGGGTTGTCCAGTTATGAATGCTCGTTTTTACTATTTTGTAAACTTCTCAAGATATCGAACAGATGTATATGAGTGTTATATATCATTCGAAAGCTGAAGATCTCCTCTACATTTTGATATAAAAAGCTTTTGAATTTGTTCAGCTTTTGGGGCAAATTGACTGCACAAAGGGAGAAGTCGTTTTCGAAAAAATCCATTCCAGCCTAGCTATTCCTCAAGTTTTATGGTGTAAAATAACCGCCCAGAAAAGAAAAGAAAAGTAAAGATGCTCTGAAATTGTTATATTTAAAAAAAAAGTTGTATCGATATATCTATCTATCTATATCTATAAAAAGAGCACTCAAAATCTGTGTCGAGTGATACTCAGTTGGTTAACTGAATATCTTTAGAGGCCCATTTTGAGTGCTCTTTTTATCTATGAAATATTAACTTTTTTTAAAAACTGTTACACCCATCATGTAGCCAAGAACGCAAGGAATTTTTTGATATAAAACTTGAACCGGCTTCGTTTTTTGGATTGTGAGAAATTTGACGGCGCTGTTTTGAACGTTTTCTATTATGGCGCTGTTTTGACTACCCCCGTTTTTCTTGATTTATATCTTGAGAAAAGTATCTTGAGAAATTTACAAAATAGTAAAAAACGCGCGTTGATAACTCGACAAGCCAATATTTTTCAGTTTCTCAAAATATTTACGCAATGATAGTACAAATTTGAATTGAAAATGGACAAAATTTGAATTGAAAATGGACAAAATTTGAATTGAAAATGGACAAAATTTGAATTGAAAATGGACAAAATTTGAATTGAAAATAGCATCTAAAAAGTGATCTCGATTTGACCAAACAAGCTTTTAATAATGGAAGCGATGGTTGTTTGATGTTTTGAAAAACTATATAAAAGTAGCACTAGACAGCAAATTTACAAAAATAAGCTGTTATAATATTTTCTCTCAAAATGCTTTTCCCTATTCTCACTTTGATCTGTTTATGTTTAACGAAAACGGCAGTTTTAGCGGCACCAGTAAATGGTGAGTAGACAAAAGTTTTTCGTTTTCGTTCGTTTTTCTTTACCAAATTTGTTACGGCTTAAACTATTAAAAAGGCCTTTCATTTCGCTAGAAAATGGCTGTTGAGCTGTTGAGCTGTTGAGCTGTTGAGCTGCTGAGCTGCTGAGCTGTTGAGCTGTTGAGCTGTTGAGCTGTTGAGCTGTTGAGCTGTTGAGCTGTTGAGCTGCTGAGCTGCTGAGCTGCTGAGCTGGTGAGCTGTTGAGCTGTTGAGCTGCTGAGAAGCTGTTGAGCTGCTGAGCTGTTGAGCTGCTGAGGAGCTGTTGAGCTGCTGAGCTGTTGAGCTGCTGAGGAGCTGTTGAGCTGCTGAGCTGTTGAGCTCAGGCTCAGAATTGAATCAAAATGTTGTAGTTGCAAGCTGAAAAGCAAAAATCTTACAAAAATCTTACAAAATGCAATGTTTGCCATCTACGATTCTTAGTCATAGCCAAGACTTTTCAGTCCAATCCACTCCAGACTTTTCAGGCCGCTCAATCCCGGTGACCCCATTACCTCCACTTGTCACCGATGGCCTTCCAACAGTCACTCTTCCCATTCATTTATGTCCGATATTTATGTGTCCGATGATTCTTCCCGAATCCCGATTTTCTGATGATTCTCGTCCCATCCGTCCATGTCATTGTCCTCAATTTCCGATAGATCGTGCACCAGTGATTGTTTAAACCCAACAACCACAAGCAGTAGTAAATTTCTGTCGAAATAGAAATCGATTACGTCTTATGAAAGCATAAAAATTGCATTTTAAATCGAGTTTTTCGTTGTTTTAAGGCGTTTTTGTGATATTTGATGTCAAAAATTGTTTTTAAAATCTTTCAAAATTCATTTTTTTACCTTTTCTGAATCAATACATTCAAATTGAACAGTTCTTTTTATAAAAAAGCACAGACAAAAGAAAGGCTCTTTTCCAAGATCTACTAAGGCTTTAATCAAGAAAATCTTTAGAATAATGTGTCTGTGCCAAAGCACAGAGGCTGCTTAGGCTTAGGCTCAGGCTTAGGCTTAAGCTCAGGCTTAGGCTTAGGATGCTTAGGCACAGACACATTATTCTAAAGATATTCTTGACTAAAGTCTCAGTAAATCATGGAAATTTTAATTTAAATCTTCCACAGTTCTTTTTTACCCTGTCTGAATCAATACATACAAATTGAACAGTTATTTCTATCAAAAAAAGCACAGACAGAAGAAAGACTCTTTTCCAAGATTTACTGAGACTTTAATCAAGAAAATCTTTAGAATAATGTGTCTGTGCCAAAGCACAGAGGGTGAGCCTGAGCCTGAGTCTAAGCACAGAGGCTGAGTCTGAGCCTAAGTACAGAGGCTGTTTAGGCACAGAAACATTATTCTAAAGATTTTCTTGATTAAAGCCTCAGTAAATCATGGAAAAGAGGTCTCTTTATGCCTCAATTTGCAAAAAAAAACAAAATTCTTTCAATAACACTTCATGGAAAAACTTTCTTTTTGTTCCAAAACTTCTCAAAGCTTTCTTTCATCGTTCGGCGATACTTTTCTCGTTGCTTATCACTTGCATCCTCGTCCGAGCCTGAAAAAACAAGATTTGAATTACGATAGAGATAAACTATCTATTTTAAAACAGGATTCATTTCAAATTTAATGGGTGAAGGAGAATGTAATGGCGCCGAACTTTAAAGAGACTTTTTGCAAGCTTTATGTAACAAGTCATTTATTTCCAAAAAAGACAAAAGAGGATCTTTCAATTCGAAAGGTATTCTCCATTAGTATCTATGACTTCTTCCCATCTTCCCATCCCGGATCCCATCCTCGATGAACTTGGGAGTTTTTGAGGCGAAGTAGTCATTCACTGCTTTTATGACCTGAGCATGATCATCGAACTTTTCTTCCTCCAAAGAATGCTTCAGCGACTGAAAAAAAGGTAATCTGAAGGAGCCAAGTCGGAAGAGTAAGGTGCGTGGGGCAGCACTTTCCAGCCAAGTTCCTCGATTTTCTTCTAAGTGATCTTCTAAGATGCAGTGTGAGGTTTTGCGTTGTCGTGTAAAAATCTGACTCTCTCCGGTTTGAGCCCCAATTTCTTCAAAGCCTCGTTAACTCTCATTGATTGCTTCGAATAAAGCTCAGCATCGACGGTTTGGCCAGGCTTTAGCACTTCATAATGCACCAATCCCTTGAAGTTTGGCCAGCAACAGAGCATTATCTTCTTCCCATGGATATCGACCTTGGAATCATTGAAACCATCGTTGACATTGACGAATGTGTATACTTTCCTCTCCAAAAACAGTGATGATCGTGCGATGAGATTCAGCTGGTGATTTTCCTTGTTTAAAATCGTAGCATTCCGTAGCTTTCTTTTTTTAACTTGAATTCAAAGAATATGGCAGCCCTGATTTTAAATTTTTGGTTTAATCGAAAGAAGTAAGTAGAAAAGAAAATATTCGTCTGCAAAACGCTTCGATGGGTTTACTGGCCGTACCAGGGAGGGACTCGAACCGCTTGCTGCGCCAGGGCGACAATAACAACCCCGAAACATCCACCATTTGTCATCGTGGCCGTGGCGCAGCGGGGAGGGCGCTTGTCTACGGTGCATACAAACCGGGCTCGATCCCCCGTGGCGCCACTTAACATTGACTTTTTCAATTTTTTATTTTGAATGGCACAACTATATTAAATTTAAGGCTTTCTAAAAAAACTCAATTTTTTTTTGGCCCAAAGAGCGCCGAGAAAATCCCCGTAAAGATAGACAGACACTCGACTTTTTGTATATGCTACGTCCCAATCCGAACGTGCGTGCCAATCTGAACATAGGGGTTTTTGAGAGACAACCGACTTGGTGCCAAAATAAAAGATGTGCAAAATATATGAATTTTAGAGCGTAAAACAAAATTCAGCTCGTTGGGTTCGGTAGAAAATTTTTTATGGGGGTCCAAAGTTAAGGTCCAAAAATGCCTTAAAATGGCTATAAAAAATTTACCACTGAACCAAAAAAGTTGTATAGTGGCACATTTTGTAGCAAATTTTATGTAGATTCTTAAAGTGACGCTACGTCTGACATTTATCGGTTGAAACTGGGAGAAAAGTTGCGCGGACTAACTTCTGCCCTTGGTTCTAAGCCAGGAGATCCCCTGAAATGAGTCCGCGCGCCAATTCTCCCATTTACAAAAGAGAAATGTCCGATGTAACTTCACTTTAAGAATCTACATAAAATTTTCTACAAAATGGGCAACTTTTTTGGTTCAGTGGTAAATTTATTAAGCCATTTTAATAGCCATAGAAAATCCTAGAATACAACTACATCTCATTGACGTGATACATTACATAAATAATTTTTTAATTTAGACTGAAGAATCTCATCCAATCGTCTGGCGTCCCGAAATCATCAAGCGGAAAGCATATTAATGTGTTGTTTTTGTATTTATTTCATTTTTTGCTATCTTATTGATTCATGTTTCTTAACTGATATTGAATAAATGTTATCTATTATATGGTCGAAAGCCAAGTTATCTGTTTATCGATATTCGATATGAAATACTAGAAAAGTAAATGAGAATATTTGTTTTCCTATTCAGTCTACCGTTTTTCTTCTAGCGTAAACTTTATCGAATCTCCTTTATCACTTTTTTCAGAACGGCAAACAGGACAGTGAAAGATGCCTCTACAGTAAAAGAAACCAATTCGCAATTTTTGATCGAGAGGATCATTCGTCAACGTATCTACGACAGCAAGTTCTGGAAAGAAGAAAGCTTTGCTTTATCAGGTAAAAGTTTATGAATATTTCATTCAAAATTTATCGCTTAAATTTTTTTCTATTTGATTTCTAAGTTTACGCATCTTTTCTGAAAGTAAAAGTAACTTATAGTTTGCTAGATCGTATTATAGATTGCTAGCAATTTTTCTCTACCTTAGCCGAACTTCTCGTCGACAAAGGAATGGAGCTACGGTACCTTGGCGGAATCTACGCGGGAAACATCAAGCCGACTCCATTTCTCTGTTTGGTGCTCAAAATGCTTCAGCTTCAGCCAAATCATGTGATTGTAATGGAGTTCATAAAACAGGACGAGTTTAAGTAAGTTTTTGAAAAAAAGATTAGGTTTAAAAAGTGATGGCACCACCTCTAAAGTTGTTTTTTAGATACATTCGAGCTTTGGGTGCTCTATACTTGCGAATGGTCTTTCCGTCTCTTGACATCTACAATTATTTGGAGCCATTGTATAGTGACTTTCGAAAGCTTCGGGTGATGAATCATATGGGCAGTAAGTTTTTAAAACTTCATTGTTAAATTAACACTCTCTTACTAGGATTCGAATTGATGTTATGGACGACTTCATTGATATGCCATTGCGAGAAGAGCGCGTGTTCGACATCCAAATGCCACGCTTACAGGTAGCTTGTGGCTATTTTATAGATAAATTCATTTTTAGAAACGAATCGCTCTTGAAGAAATAGCGGCCATCGAGGAGTACAAATCGCCTCTTGACGAGGATCTTAGAAAGGTTTTCTTCTGACTTTTTCATTAACCTAGGGAGCTTTTAGGTCTCCGAGTCTGAATCAGACGAGATGATAAGGCCACGCGCAAGGAGGAGAGGGCAAGTTTGATTAGCCGAAAAAGAAGCAGGTACATTTTGACAAAGACTAAAAGTATAAGTCACAACGAAGCTAAGCCTATTATTTATAGTATTTTTCATGAGCTCATTCAGATCTCGAGAGCGTGATCGCGACGATCGAAAGAATCGTGATAAGAAAGAAAGAGATAGGTTTGTATTGTCTTTTGTTATTTGTTTTTGCTAATTTTGTATCCGTTTTGGTCGTCAAAGCAGTTGTTACTTTAGATCTCGTGAACGAGACCGTGATCGTCGAAGGCGCTCGAAGAGCCGTGAACGTGACGATAAAGGTGGGCTCGAGTTTCTAGCCAAAAATTGAAGACGTGGTGTCTGATCTTTAAAAATTTGTTTCCATCTGACATATGATCGACATTTTTTGAGCGAACCTCTAACAATTTTTTTTATTTAGATCGCCGTGATAAAGATCGAGAGCGTGGACGTGAAAAGGATCGTGGGAAACGACAAAGCTCATTGGAGCGTGAAATCGACGAGGCGAACGCTCAACGCAAGCAACTCGGATTGGCCCCTCTACAACGATGATCTCTCGAAAGCTTTTTTTATTTGATTGTTTTAATGTGAAGTTGACGTTAAACATTAAATATTTTATCAAACATAGAAAACAAAATGGTACTGCAAGGATAATTCACTTCAGCACAGAATTTTCGCCCTTATAGTTAATGTGGTCAAAGTTCTAGTTTAAAACATCAAATCTTAATGGTTCCAAAAGTCGTCCAAGTTTAAAACTGAAAAACCCTCCCTAGTAGCAAGCATGTGTGCAATCAGTCGAATCTGAACAAATTATTCCATTTTTCTACTTTTCTACCTGAAGATGGTAATGGTAAAAAAATTAACAAAATTACTCTATTTCTGAAAGAACTTATCGTTCATCGCACGGACATCGACGAATTACTGAAACTTTTGCGAGTAAGCCTTAATCTCCGTTTAGCTACTCTATTTCCGAGTCATTCTCGGAAAAGATTCCTTAAGTTGAACTTATTTACTAGGAAAGTTTTGATCAAAGAGAACTCAAGGCAATCACAGTCGAAACACTTCTTTGAAACCGAATTTTCGATACAAAAAGACGACTTTACGGAATGGAAATCCCAACCATTTTCAAATATTTAAAACTTGGACAAAATTTGCTTTTCAAAGCCTTCTTCGCGCTTTCAAAGCGCTGCCAAGCTTTATCAAGCGAGTTAAAAGAAACGCAAGTTAGCCTAAAAAGCATCGATATCTTTTCGTTTCTTCCAAAACGACTTCCTGTCGATGAGCATCGGACCACTTTAGTCATTAAAATGATCAAATGAGTTATTGAGAAAAAAGCTGGTATCGAAGAGATCGAACAGAGGGAAATCCCAGAAAAATGTTGGTTTGTTGGGGTGAAGGCTTAGTAAAGTAAAGTAAATAGAGTAAAGATTTACAAGGCTGCCAATACCAAAGGAAATATACACTATCCTGGATTGTTAATGATGGTGAGGAAGAAATAACTGTTTTTAGCGCAATACAACGTGATTTTTGCTAGCTTCCGTGTACTTTGATGTTTTCGTAATTTTCCACAATTCCGAGTATCAGTGCGAATTGATCAAAACTAAAAAAATTAGACACAAATTTATTGTTCTTATTTAGTGCAAATAAATAAATGTTTTATCCCAAAACACTAGAAAGCAGAATAACATAAAAACACACGAATCAAGAGACGACGCATTTTAAAAGTTACACAAAACCGATAAAGCACTCACGAAGTATAAGGGTTCGGTTCATCCGCTTTGTCAGGCCGTCTCATTTTCGTGTTCAAAGCGGGAAGAGCATATGTGGGAACCTAGGAATAAAATTTATCAAGTCAGAAAATGATAGTGATTTACTCGCAGGGTTGCCTGACGACGTCTTCTTACTGTATCCGTCTCAATGAATGGATTCGGGAAGTCGAGTGGGGTCTCTGGTGGTAACAATTGCTCATTTGTCTAAATAAACATTAATTTTTTAAATCCAATAGTATTCTAATGAAAATCGGGCACTTTACATGATATGCGTAGTTCAAAAATGAAATCCACTCTTCCAGCCGCCAACCTTGGCGTCTCCAATTCGACTGCAGCTTTTCGCTTTACTGAACGTGGCACAACTAAATTTATCTTAAGACCTTTTACCCTTTAAAAAAGCACCTTTAAGAGTTTCAGGCGCTAATTTCTTTATTGACTTCGCTGTTGATGACGATGGTTGTTCGGCTTTTGGAGTCGCGTCCGGATCAAATGGCTCTTTCATGTCCTAAAATATATCAAGACCGTATCATATTATCACTCTCTCAAAAGATTCTTAAGTAGCCGTAAATTGCTAATTAACTCACTAAATTCACAAGTGCCTAATTCTGCTAAATTCTTTATCTCATTAAATTAAAGTCATTAAAGCATAATCTAGAAAACCTTACCCAATATCGCTCAAAACAATTGTAAAGTCCTCTTTGTGCTTTTCCATCGTCTCGATGCAACGTTTAGAGACTTGAGCCAACTGGCCAAGTTTTTTTTCTAAAAGATCAAAATGTAATTATAAAACAAAATGCATAGCCTCTTCTAAAAGTAAAATTTTCAAAAGAAAACCTTTATTCTTTCGTTCAAAATCATCTCCACACGTTCATTCTCGGTTGCCGCTTCGAGCGCGTGGAGACGTTCGCTAAATAATTAAATTTATTAATAAAATTTGTTTAAAACCTTAGTCGGAAGTTTTCCTTTCGCAGATCCTCGATTTGTCTTTTTGCCGTTGGCCACCTCGAGCTTCAATTGTCGAATTTGCTGCGCCATAATTTTGTTCGTTTGCTGATATCCGATGGGTACTAAAAATAAAGTGATTCAAAGCCTTTTAAAGATTTGATGGCTTCTATCAAAACCTCTATATAAGTAGAAACTGAACTTCACACTCACAGAACCTTTAAAAGTTAGCATAAAAATTACACACCGTTATTTTCCTTTTCAGCTATAGGAGCGGCTCCTTAGAAGCGGCTTTCGGCGCGATTGAGTCGAGCACCGTCGATCCGGAGAGCATTTTGAGGAGAGATTCACGGGAAATCGAGTGCTTCTTCCTATTCTCCGACATTTTCTAAAACGAAACGTTAAAAGAGACAGAATTATAAAACAAAAACAGATTTTATGAAAGAAAGAAACGGCGTTACAAGAAGTTTTGAAGAAATCTGGCTCCCACCAGAGAGAATTTTAGAAAAGTTACGTGGTGAGACTGGTAAATTTCTTTTCGTAAAGGTAAAGTTAGAAAAAATAAAATGAACTTTTCAGGAAAAGACAGCTTATAATCTCGAAAAAATTTAGTGCATAAAAAAAATGGAAAATGGCTCTACTAAATTTCAGAAATGTTCATTTTCTAAGTTTTCTAAATGAACTAAGCCTAGAAAATGACTACCATACCGCCCATTTCGGGGCAGAAACCCCGAAGCCTCCCTCCTTACTTCCAATAGCCTGTTAAACAAAAATATAGAATATTATGTCAGAAATTGTCGTTCTTTCCCAATAAATGTTTTTCTTTTGTTATATGGCCTACCAATCCGTTGATAAATGGGGGATCCCACGGTTATGAATCAAACCGGACATTATCTTGGTTTAATTATGTGTTGAATTTGACTTTCTCATATATTTTTTGCTAGCTTTTTTTACCATTTCTTTCTGGCATTTTTGAATTTGTAAATATTGATCAATTGACTTATCTCGTTCAGATCTCTCGAAATGCTACCGGAACTTCTGTTCTTCAAGGATCTAGATTCTTTTGAGCTGACACCTGAATATTTGGAGATAGTCTATCTAAAGAAACATTTTCGTTTCAACTATCCGCTCAAATCGAACAATCGGAAATACTGGGTGCAATCATTTCCCAGGAGTCAGATCACGATTTCTGACATGATGTTGCAGGTATTTTAAGTTTTACATTCAAAATGGATTCTTTAAGACTGTGGACACGACTGAAGTTTGGCAGGACGCTCTCCTGGTCAATTTGTTCGTCGATTTTGAAGATGTGGCACAGCTAGGAGAGATGGCCTCAAAACTCAAAAACATGTGAGGCTATAAACAGGTTTCTATTACCTTGATCGTGTAGTCCGTCTACGCATACCCGAGAATCGAGTCGAAATTGCTTGTTTAGGTGCGCCCAAATCCGAAAATCACTTCCGAAGACGAGGAATTCTCGAGTGATGGGGATGAAGAAAGCAATGAGATGGAGCTCAACATGTTGGTTGTATTTGTATTAAAGGATAGCTCATTTACATTTGAAAAACTAGCTGATAAAAGCCGAAAATTTTCAATCGTTTCAAAGACTTTCTTCATCAGTCAACATTCTTCGTGACCTGTTTTGATTACCGTATTGCTTCTAATAACCGCCGCACTAAACTGATGAAGCCCCGCCCACTCACCTGAGAGACAAAAAGTTGCACCAAATTGCGGGTTTTTACCTAAAAGTCCTGAAACTTTGTCAGAATGTGCACATTCCATCGTCTATAAAAACAAACCAAATTCGATTTGCTTCATTCATTGCTAAGGAAGTTTTTGAGTTTTCTCAGCAACGAATAAAGCAAATCGTATTTGTTTTGTTTTTTATAGATGCGCCTATGGAATGTGCACATTCTGACAAAGTTTCAGGACTTTTAGGTAAAAACCCTCAATTTGGTGCAACTTTTTGTCTCTCAGGTGAGTGGGCGGGGCTTCATCAGTTTAGTGCGGCGGTTATTAGAATAAACACGGTATTCGTTTTTATTTTTGCTAATAGTTTTCGGAAATCAGAATACTTATTATAGTTCTTACATCTCGATTAGTTATCCTCGTATTATTCGCCGATTTTACATTTTTCTTTTAGTCTCATCGGAATGGGACCCAAAATCATGTTTCATGATGTTGCTGCAGGTTTCACGGTCAATGCCAACTATTTTGAACTCACCTATAACGGTGAGAAGTATCGCTTCATCCACGGCAACGTGAATCGTCCGCGGCGGCGTCGAAATCAGCAGCTGACTCGTCAATTTACCACCAGACGAGGATTGAATCCTGTACCGACTCGGTCATCTGCTCATATGCTAATCCCGGGAGTAATGCTACAGGTAGGAAATTTCTCTGATAAGTTGATTGATTGGATTATTTTTAGAAAGAAGAACCCCGCAACGTCTGGCACGATGTGGACATAATGGATGTTTACATTGAATTCGACGGGGATGCTTGGACTAAAGCTTGTAATGATTTGACGCACGGTTTGGAAGCCCAGGGATACGTGGATGTTTCACGAGGTTCAGTTTAATGTTTTAAGAAATAGCTCGGATTGATTAAATCTATTTGCAATAATCACTCATAATCTATGTAGGATGGAGCCTTTACGGGGAGTCATTAGCATTGAACATATAAAGATTCATTTTCCTCAGTCTTTGATGGTCAAAATATAATAATTGTATCTAGATTTTGATTTGAGACTTCAAGCTTCATTGATTTTTTTTTCAGGATAAGCTGCCCGAGACCATGAAAACAATTACTGATTCGACAGGATCAAGCTTCTGTTAAAATTTTTGTCGTTCTTTCCCAATAAATGTTTTTCTTTTGTTATATGGCCTACCAATCCGTTGATAAATGGCGGATCCTACGGCTATGAATCAAACCGGACATTATCTTGGTTTAATTATGTTATTATTAATTGTTTTACTTCCATGTCATTTTTAGGGATATCGAGATGGTACCACCCCGAATCTGTTTCTTTGATGTGAATTCACCAATCACTGTGACGGGCAACCACTTCGAATTCGCTTACGGCGGTGTAGCCTACCGTTTTCTTCATTGTCAGCAGAATCGACGACGAGGCCAAGGGGGTCGACGATTCTGTTGTCTGCCGCGACGAAAGCCTCCGGTTAAATTCATCCGTAGAAACCACTATTGCCAATTGTTCATTCCAAGAGTTGAGTGAGAGGTTTGAACGTTTCTTATAATAGATCAATTTGATTAGATTATTTTAGAAAGATGTTGGAAACAATTGGGAAAGATTGGGTGAGTTCGATGTCTACATAGAATTTGCGGGTCTCGACGCTCTGACGGCTGCAGGTGGATTAGAAGCAGGTCTTCGTGCTCAACACTACCATGATTCGACAACTTTCTTCCTTTCAAAATTAAAATTTTCATCTGTTCGATCCGCAAAAGCGATTTTCCATGCTCCATCTTCCTAAAAAATAAAAATTAGCAAAGAATAAGCAAAAAACATGGTTATTACAGATAGAAAATCAAAAAGAAACGTAGTGGTCCTATCATTTTGCAACAGGTGTAAAACAAAGAAATGCTTAAAAAAATTTGCCTTTTAAAGTAAATTATTTGGCAAACGGTATTTGGGCGTGCTTTTGTATATAAAATTCGAATTTAAGCACCATTTTGCATTTTTAGTTATTTAAAATCAAAAATCGCAAAAATAGAGGGTGGTCCTATCATTTTGCAACGCACTGTATAAAAAAATTTCATTGATTTTTTGAAAAAGTGATGTTGCAAGACTTTTCCTCGGTATTTTATTTGCTGGGTTTTTTATTTTGCAATCAAATTTTTCTACCAGGACAATTCGCCGGTTCGCAAGAGCAAGCGCATGATGAGTCGCACGGTGAATCTCTCAAATGCAGAAAAAGCTTATCTCCCTGGATGGCTTGCCCTTAATAATGTTTTGTTGGTCAATGTGCCCGCTATGTCGCCTGATTTAAACATTATTGAGAATTTATGGGCTCATGTGAAGACAAGGTTACGAGGAAAAGCCTTTCACACACAAAAGTTGACTTATGGTTCTACATATGAAAAGTTTGGAGCTCAATTCGACCAGCAATTCTTCACAAATTAGTCGACACAAGGCCTAAACGACTTAATGAAGTCTTTTGGAAAAAGGTGGACCATTTGAAAATTATTAGGTGGCAACTTAATAATGATGCGTCACTAATTAACATGTATTTTGTAATTTCAAGCGCCGTTTCTTCCCTCTTTTTCGCATATATACAAAGTGAAAGATGTCTGCATAAATAACATTTAGTGCTCCAAATATCATCATTCGCCTTTTGGCAAAAAATGGAGGACAAAAAATTCCGTATTCGAGCTGCATTGTTCTACGATTTTAAACAAGGAAAATCACCAGCTGAATCTCATCGCACGATCATCACTGTTTTTGGAGAGGAAAGTATACACATTCGTCAATGTCAACGATGGTTTCAATGATTCCAAGGTCGATATCCATGGGAAGAAGATAATGCTCTGTTGCTGGCCAAACTTCAAGGGATTGGTGCATTATGAAGTGCTAAAGCCTGGCCAAACCGTCGATGCTGAGCTTTATTCGAAGCAATCAATGAGAGTTAACGAGGCTTTGAAGAAATTGGGGCTCAAACCGGAGAGAGTCAGATTTTTACACGACAACGCAAAACCTCACACTGCATCTTAGAAGATCACTTAGAAGAAAATCGAGGAACTTGGCTGGAAAGTGCTGCCCCACGCACCTTACTCTTCCGACTTGGCTCCTTCAGATTACCTTTTTTTCAGTCGCTGAAGCATTCTTTGGAGGAAGAAAAGTTCGATGATCATGCTCAGGTCATAAAAGCAGTGAATGACTACTTCGCCTCAAAAACTCCCAAGTTCATCGAGGATGGGATCCGGGATGGGAAGATGGGAAGAAGTCATAGATACTAATGGAGAATACCTTTCGAATTGAAAGATCCTCTTTTGTCTTTTTTGGAAATAAATTATTTGTTACATAAACGCGTCATTATTAAGTTGCCAACCTAATAATTTTTGATGTTTCTGTATAATGTTGCAAGACTTTGGCAATCAGTTTTTAGGGTATTTTTTAGTAGTTTTATCATTTACTTTTTTGTTTTACGCTGAATTTCAAATTAGCTTTTTTAAATAAAGTGTACATGTATTATTTTAATTAAAAACAAAAATCCCTACGAACGTGGCATTTTCTATAAAAAATTTCATCGATTTTTTTGAAAAAGTGCTATTGCAAGACTTTGCTTGTTATTTTATTTGCTGGGTTTTTTGTTTTGCAATCGAATTGATGCAAGGAAATGGCTCATCGCCTCTTATCAAAAATTGCTTGATTGCTTGATTGCTTTCCAACCATTGTTTGATTTTCCCTGTTGCTTTTGATTTTTTGAAATATGAAATATGAAAATTGAATCTAGAATGCTTGGAGACCCAATGGTTAAGGAAATTGGCGCAGGTGGACAAGGGCGCTGCTTTTTGCTGAAGAAATACAAACCGTAAGTTGTTATCCTTTTCCCTCCAGTCCTTTTGGAAAGGCAAACGATTATAAACCTAGTGAGCGTTTAGTTTATTTTGTTCAGAACTACGTCAGCAAACAGTTGGCAAATTGCCAGCACTGGGAAATTCGAAGCGCGCATTGTTTTCTTTCCCAACCTGATAATTTTAGTCCCTATGTGATGAAGTTGAATCAATGGAATGCACGGGAGGAGTTGAAGGCCCTGAAGAGACTTGCCCATGGCAATATCGTTAACTATTTGGATCCGCCAAGTGATTACAAGTACAACATCAAAGAGGGTTTCTTCCCGATTTTTATGCAATATTGCGAGGAGGGAGATTTGCTGCGTGGTTGGCAAAATTGGCAATTCCTTCTGATTATTAGATAAATTTTAGTGATCCGCGATCCGACTCTCAACTATTCGGTGGCCACAATTGTAAAATGGGCAAACGAGATCTTCACCGCTCTCACCTATCTAAAGACAAACGAGATCGCTCATCGAGATGTGAAACCACAAAAGTTGCTTCGCTTTTCAAAAATTTCTAACAAAACTTTCATTAGCATTTTCGTCGACAAGCAATTCACGTTGAAACTTGGCGATTTTGGGATAATCACACAGGAGAAAGGCGGGCGAATCCATGGTATCCCGGGCACAGCCCTCTATCAACCACCGGAATTCAAAGAGAAAAGCGACTTGAGTATGGAGGTGAAGGACATATTTTAAAAATTGAGTTAAGAGAACCAAAACCATTTTAGGATCTTTATCGAGGTGATGTCTTTGCTGCCGGTTTGACTATTTTTCAACTTATGGAAAGGATAGCGTCGTTTAACTTTCTTCTTTTCACACCGACTCAATCTGATGACGTCAAAAAGTTGCAAGAATTGATTCGCTGGTTGGCCGAGTCGATTTCTTTGTAAAAAAAAGAACAACTCTCAAAGGGTTTAACTTGTCTTAACTCAACTCTTGGTTTAATTCAACTTTTGACCTAAATCAACTTTTGGCTTAACTCAAAAAAATCCCCAAAAAAAATCATTTTTGCACCTACCACTTTGAGCACTTGAAGTTTTTTAGAAATTTGACTCAAAGTGACTTTTTTTCGGATACGCTTTAGAGACTTGAAGCCCTGAATCTTTGCTCTGGCCTGGGCTTGGCCATTTTTAAAAAAGGACAATTTTTTAAAATATTATTAAATGAAAACAAAACTTTCTTGTTTAAAACAAGAAAAACTTGAAAAACAGTCAATAAATCGCTCGCGTTGGACAATTTAAATGCTTTTATCATGAGGGGTCAGGGTATCAGTAATTGTGGAACACCCTGTAGGTCTTTCGCGCAGCTCACCATACCTTTTTTCTAAGTGAGCCAATCTTTACGATTTTAGTGTCATTTTGTTGCACTTATTGAAATCTACAAAATGCAATCAAAATCATAAAGATTGGCCCATTTGAAAGAAAGTTATTGATCAGAAGAGTCGGAAGGAAGATGGTCCTGACCTAGATGATTCATAACTTTATTCTAGGTGGGCCAACCTTTATGATTGTGATCTCATTTTGTTACAATTGTTGAGATCAACAAAATGACCTCAAGCTCATAAAGATTGCCGACTTAGAAGAAAGTTATGGCGAGTTGCGCAAAAGACCTAGTGGCGCGAAAGACCTAGTTGCGCAAAAAATTTGGCGCAAAGTAGCCACCCGCTACTTTTAAATGAAATTAGGCCTTTGACAACAACTTTGCCAAAAGGGTAAGCCCATAATTTTTTTGTTTCCCTTTAGTTGCTCTTGCTCGACGATTCGCGTTGAAGATCGAAAGAATGCTGAAAGTGCTTACGATGAGATGGAAGCATTAGAAAAGGTAAAGACAAATGATGGAAAAGAAAATGAAAACTTTAGCTATTCAAAAAGTTTATCGTGCTACCCGAGCGAAAGCGGCATCAAACCAAACCAACCAAACCGGTTGGCCTTTTCTATGACTCTATTATTGTCCCAGACGCGACATTCTTCACTCAAACTGATTTCCAAGCGACTCCCGATGATGAAACCACACAAAACAGCCACAATAGTCAACTGTTTCTCGACGAACTTCTACTAAAAGCTCAATTGTTGACAAAATTCTCGAATCTAACAAGGGAAAGACTTCGCTTCAAATATTATAAAGACGATGTGAACAAAGCGAGAGCAGAGCTTTGCGAGAAATTCACAAGCTTTCTAAAACTTGAGTCTTTGAATAGAAACGAAAAAGAGGGTTTAGTCAAAGAGTTACAATCCTTCGAAACGGACTTTTCCGAGGAATTTCACCGTGACATTACCCCTGACCATTTCACCGCAGAACAATTCGATTTTGAAAATATCGAAATGGTGGATGATCCGGAAAGTCGTTTGCCCGAACCGTTATCGAGTTTTCGCGAGCTTCTCTGCTTCGATTATCTTTTACAAGATCGTTGCATTCCTTTCGCCATTCACACATTGTGGAACTGCAACTCGTTGTCGCTTTCTTGGGTTGAGCTAGCAGATCTCTTAAACACCAGCATTCATAACATTGAACAATTGGAGAAAGTGTTCTCAAGAAGAAAGCTTTTTTTCTTCCGGTACTTAGGCGAATCGAGAAATCAATGGTGCAGAGGCTACGATTTGGTCTTTAAAAAAGATCTCAGTGATTTTCGTGTTTACAGCAAATGGTCGAGACGGACTTTCCGTACGGGCTCTTTAGGAGCGACGCCTATTGATTTGGAGTTGATCCGAAGAGCCTTGCTCGAAAGAATTGAATTGGTTCAAGAATATGCCAGTTTTG